TTTCAATCTGTGATGACTTCCAGGAACCTGAAAGTGAAATGGAAGAAGAAATGCTCAAGTGTGTGATGAACGATGCTCCCATGAATCCAGATGATGTGGATGGCATTCCTATAGATGATGTCGATGGCATTCCTATCAAGGAGGAGGACAAAGAAGACCTGGATGGCGTACCAATTGCCAACACTCCTTTGATCAAGAGTGCAGCAATTAGTGCGCTACTTGGTTATGATGACGATGATGATGAGGAGGATATTGATGGTGCTCCATGTAAGATACTGCGGCATTGACGCTTTGCTGATTCTCTAGTGTTATGTAAGATTGTTATTATCTGTTAATTTAAGTATTAACTGCACCCAGAATTACATTTAATGACCACAAAATGCTATTCTTTCCAGTGGATGATGATGTGGATGGCATTCCTTTCAAAGAGACTCCCATATCAGACAATGGTCCTGCACCTGGGTTTGTTTCATCCAAGTGGGAAAGGGTTAGTCCAAAACGTGTTGAAGCTCAGGTAAGGGAACAATGCATGCATGCATATATATATATATAATATATATATATATTATATATATATATATATATATATATATTATATATATATATATATATATATATATATATATATATATATAATATATATATTATTTTTTTTTTTTTTTTTTTTTTTTTTTATGTATGTATGTATGCTATAGAACAAAATTACATACTTGCAATAGAAGTGAGTGGATGCTTGATATTGAAATAAGGTTGATGAGGAATTTTCCATTATGTTACTGTAAATCCTCTCTAGGCCGTAACCACTTCAAAATGGGAAATGGTGGAAGCCAATCAGAGTGAAGACGAGGAGGCAAATGGTTCAGACAACACCCCTGTGTATGATCGATCAGGAACACACACACAGCTGAGCCAAAATAGTCATGGTATTTTCTTGTGTATCTTCTTTGCTTTAGTCTAATAATTGTGAAGTTACTAGATAACTATACCTTGTTTGAGTAATTAATAATGGTATTGTAAAATTCTGGGAAAGTCAAAAATATTTTCTAATGAGTAATTCTTTCATGTAGATGAAGATGATCTAGATGGTATCCCTCTTGTATATGACGACTACAAACGCAAAAAGAGAGATTCCTCTGAAGATGATTCACAGTCTCAGGATAACACCTCTGATTACTCAGAAGATTCTAGAGGGTTTGATAGACTGCAAGGGTGAGTTCTTTTATGGAAATGTTCTGAGATCTTTATCTTTCTTTCCTTTTTTTTTTTTTTTTCTTTTCTATTAGGATTTCATTATGCTTGTCCTATTTTATTGCATAAAGTTAAATATTTACCATATTTGCATTCATACGATTGGTTAGGTTGGATACACATGATTACATTTGTGAATGGATATGGACATGCCCTGATATATTTTGTGAATGGAGAACTGTCTCGTTATGAAAACAGGGACGTCAGTGAAGAACGCCGTGCCAAGCTTCGTGAGGTTGAAATACGTGTACTCCAATACCAAGATGAATTAGAACAAGGTATTCGCTCCGTTAAGCAGGGATACTCCATCCACAGACAAGTTGCACACTACCGCCACAAGATGATGAGAAAGGTGAGTGCACCAAGCTTCTGGTTATTGGATATATAGTGTTCTGTTTGAGTAGAGATCTTCATTTTGAATTGAAATTTATTGTACAAAACTTTTATTGATGTGCATTTTTTTACTTTGTTGATTGTTTCACCAAGGACATGAATTATAAGAAATTGCTATTTACAGATTGAGAGGGAAGATGGTAGCGAACGAAGACATCACCGGCACAGAAGTCGGAGCTCATCACCAGAGGAGAGGAGACCCACAAAGCGCTCCAGATCACCACACAAGTAAGGATTTAGATAATATTTGCAGAATTTGGCTCCTTCCTGTGTCATAGATGCATTCATAAAAAACCTTAATGGGGTCTTAATTCTTCAGATTTCTGCTTTTGGGTTTCGTCTTTATCTTGGTTACTTGTTGATGTCATGTTCAACTTGGTGTGAATAGAATTAAAAAAATAAATAAATAAAAAAAAAATACTGATAATGGTGGTGGAAATAATAGTTGGATTAGAGTGTGTAAGATAGCTCTGTAAAATATATGTCTCTTGATACATTCCATACTTTGTTCTAATCTTATATTTGATTGAATTCCCAGAACTATTTTTGCTATATTTGCTTGTTATTTAAAGGTCTCGTCATCGCACACACTCCAGATCCCCGAGTTCTAGGAGACACAGGTCAAGATCTCCACGGAAACGAACATCCCATTCGCGTTCCCCTAGTCGCAAGCACAAGAAAAAGAGCCGCCATTAGTGTAGCAACTATAAAACATTTGCTGTGGGGAAAATGATATACAGTATTTAAAAAATAAAAAAAATAAAACAGCTGCCAATTTTAATTTCATAATTATTTGTTCTTTCTTTTTTTTTGTATCTGTTTTGATTGATAACCTCATTATTTGGTAATCTTTTTATTACCTCAAAAAATATCAAAATAGAACAAAACATTCTCTGGTATTGATCTTGTTGTTTTATCATTTGGCTTTTGGGGAATTTGGCAGATGAAATAGCTACCATGGAGCTATGAATAGGCAATACATAGAACAATCACAAAATTTGCAGTACACACCATTAAGTTGACTTTTTTCTTTTCTTTGCAAAGTCTATCATTTAAAATGTGAAAAATAAATAAAGACTATGAAATATTTTGAAGCCTTTTATTCTGCTGAATGTGTGCTAAAATGGTCATTAATACACTTTGATAAATGCCTGTAGTTTGGAAGAGTATGAATGGATGAAGCATTAAAATTTGTTCTGTAAATATATGTTCTGCAGTGTATTTATGAAGAATATTTTAAACCTCTTGCATGTATTCATGGACTTCTATAAAAAGGCCAATATACTAAATGTCTTTATTGTTTACCACTTCTTTTTATTTCATTTATAAATGCTATATATTTGAATAAAGGTTATTTCTTCAAAGAAATGAAAGTAAATCCTCAACTGAATTGAGAAGCCGCATTTATGGTATCAAGAATATGGTTTTGAATATTAGTTTTCATCTGAAATAGAATGCTAATTTCAAATTCCAGTTGCAACAAAAAAAGGATTGCAAACTTCAGACAGACATATACTTTTCTTCAAGATTATTTTGCCTTTGTTATATGATTCAGGGTCTCATAAGGTGAACATAATATACATTTCAGTTTTCCTGTGCTAAGTAAGTAAAGGACTGGATCTAAAACAATACTAAATAACAGCAGATGATATGGACACAAAGGTCAGAGAACATCTTGTTGAGGAAGGAATGACAACCCAAAAAGATTATTAAACTACATATAAAACAAATATGTGGGATAAAATTCTTAACTTGGGATAGCCTTTGATTTTAATCTCCGTTTCAGAGCTATCCCCATCTAATAATATTTAAATGGGATTAGCACTGAAAGATAACATGGATCACCGTTGAAGTCCCACTGACAGTTATCTATAACATTGTATTACTGCCATCGTGATGAAAGCAATAGTTAATGCATACAGTAACAACACTATGATAATGACATTTATGAAAATTTTAGTTGTCAGTTTTATTGCTAAGCTGGTATTAACTGAGGATAATGGGGAAGGGATCATACTGTAATCCGAAAAAACGGTTACAGTGGTTACATCATTATCGATGATCAAAAGGAATGATATGGAGTGATTAATGTTAAGATAATGATACCAACATTATTTCCACAAATGTTTTCTTGAACAAACCCTTCCATCAAGTGCACAGAAGAGATA